CTCTCCCCCTTTCAACTACATCAAGACTTCAAAATGTTCTACTTTACGCAAAAAAATTGGAGTGAGTTCAAGTAACGTACCTGGATAGACGGGAGCTGCTGACAAGCTTCCACTTTCTTCAGCGAATGTGGTCGCAGGAGCGAAATGAGCAGTCTGCGGGGCACTATTCTCTTCCTCACCTTCATAAATTGGTTCATTATGTAGCGACTGTTTGCCATACGTCTGAAAAATTAATGCTCGTCATGAAGACCACTTCCACCTATCAGTACTTGAGCTCTGACAAGAACTAAAATATATCTGTCGAGTACTAAAATATAGAAGAAACATACCAGCGGTAGGGGCTTATAAAGTCTGAGACGGAAATTTGAGTGGGCACGGCGAATTTGTTCGGCTTTAAGTGTCATTTCATCCCTCACATCGTCTCCCACTTTATGAATTAAAGCTAGCAAGTACTCAAGATCGAGGATCTCCGCTACACGAACAGAACGCATGTGGAGAATGCCGCTCGTGAGTGAGTAGAAACGATGGCTGATGGTAGAAATGACAACAAAAACGTAAACTGCTTGCTGACGAAAGTCCAGCCACGAGGACTGGTTTTGAACCGATGATCCGCTTACAGAACTCGCATCTCATGAATAACATTACGTAAGTTACTCATCCACCGCTTGATCCAGAAAGACCCTAGTTCCACCAGGACTTGGGAGACAAAAAAAACAAATAATGAGGCGCTTGCAGCTATACGAGGAAACTAGGATAGGGGATGAATTGAGAGGGAAGGATGGTAAGTCGACGTCTCCGTTTGAAATTGGATGTACCGTGCAATATGTCGTAAGAAGGGGATTACGAGTCCACCCTCCTTAACTGCGAACCTCCTTGGATGGTGAAGAAGCCTCTTAACGGAGGCATACTAACACTAAAATGAATTTAAAGCGTAAAACTGCTCTGAATGTGAAGCAAATCACATCAAATTACACCTGATTTGCATTCATAAGACCAACCACATGACTGTTCGTCTACGGTGCAATATGGGAGGGGCTTTACGCTCGAAAATCATATTGAGTGTGGGTATGCTCCGTAAACCTCAAAAACTTCGTTCAGAGAGGCCTGCGCTAGTCAGAAAACGGATTCGTAAACACCCTGTAAGGACACCAGAGATCAGTCAGTCTGCCATCTCGAATAGCCACTTCGACTCACCGCCTCTCCTTAGTAAGATCGAAGCCTTCCCGAAGCGAGTTACAAACAACCCATGTTTACATAAAGGGAAATTCATTACAAGAATGCTGAGTTATGGGTGAAAGTCAGGCCCCGAATGAGGTTTAAGGCCGCACCAGCATTATTATGATAACTTTCGAAGCGCGTGCTGTAACTTTACACAATCGCTATAATATTCAAAAAATAAAGGAAAACTGAGGAATTCTGGTAGGTATTTCTTCGGATAGGCAGTATCACCGCAGGGGCAAAAGGGAGAGGAAATTTATTGCTTGAAGTATTAGAGAAATGTTCCTCACCGCTGAATGGCCATCAAGACTGAGAGCATTCGTTCGCAAAGAGTAATTTCGTCGGAACTGTGCTGCCGATGACGATTCAGGCGCACGAAGCGAGCCCTATAAATAGTGGATTTATGGACTTGAGCACTATAAGTAGTAGATGTATGGACTTGAGCCCTATAAATAGTAGAATCACTCTGTAAGGAAATCAATGCAACTAAACGATTGATATTTTTTTCTCAAAATATCCGGGTCCGTCAATGAGAAAGTACAAGCAATAATGATCGCTCTAACATTTTCTTTTGGGGCTAAAAAGCACACCAGAAAAGGTTGCCATCCGGTCTCCCCATGGAGCCCATGCTCGCCACATCATCTTCTACCCCTTTCTATACTTTTTTGGGGATGATGTACGACTACCCAATCGATCTTCGCATGACGGCGCAGCGATTCACACCGCACCCTCGCTGAACCACCCACACTGTACCTCGTGATATAATTTTACCTTTTCTGGTGTAGTTTATATGTCACTTTCTCCCAGTCAACGAGTATGTTTTCAGGTCAAGGGATAGGGTCAGGAAAAGTTCGGGTTCGGAGAGGATTAGTTCTCAGAGGAATAATGCACGATATTTCGGTAGTCAGTCTAAAATGGCAGCCAGGCTGCTGAATAGTGGGAAAGTGATGAAAAAAACGAAGCGAAACGGTGAAGAAATTGCCTCTGTTCTGCACGGCAAAGAGCGAGTATACGGCTACGGCTTTTGGACGATTTTTCCGATGGCATCACTCCAGGACCTTCTAGAGCCATTCCCTAACACCGGGGGCAGGAAGTGATATCAAGAAACGACAGTTACAGTTTAGCGGAAGCGACGGAGGCTTTCGAAGAAGGTAAAGGTTTCATTGAGACCAGAGTATGCAAGCATGACTTCTACTTCCAAAAAGTAGTTATATACTTTCTTTCAATTACATACGGCTTGACAACCGGTAACTTTAATTTTCATGTGCCATGTTTCGTATTGTACTTTTCAATGTCCTCTTTTCTACACAGTTTCCCAATCTGTTTTGTATCGCAATTTTTTTCAAGCTTTTATCTCAAAGTAATGCCGCAGCCCTGTCTCATTTGGTGAAGCGATAAAAGTGTGAGATCCATATCTTTGATACTACTGTTCGGGCGGGTTTTCTCAGGATCAGGCAGTCTTTCTGATGAGTAGGGTCTTGTTCAGGTTTCTCTATAGGGCCTTTTGTGGTGAGCAACTTCACACATCACCTGCGTAGTCAGGTAGCTTCGTTTTCTGCTTGGCATTCCGATCCTATAAGCACATGGTCATTTGACTGCCTTATGCGTTTCCTATACATTTTCAAACTTGGTTTTCACAGGTCAGAGAAGTAGGAGTGAACGAGGACGGCTGTGTAGAACTTATTTTCGGCGTCCCTTTGGCTTGCCCTGCCATTCCCTGGTCCCCATTCATTTCTTCTTTCATTAGAAGCAGGGGCCACGATGGCTGGGGGCGTGCGGTTGCTGCCGATGCCTTTCGTGTAAGGGCGTTAGGCCACACCTCACTCAGCCCTTCCACCAGTGACATTGACAGCAACCTCCCGTCCCCACCAGTCCTGCATACTGTTTTCAACTCAGGATTAAGGAAATATTGCCTCCTTGCTAACGGCTTCATGGGAGCACCCCGAAGTGAAACTGTCAGGAATATTCAGACGAACCAGCGCAAATCGTTAAATCATTACCGTAGTGGGGAAAAATGAGGCAAATAACATAAAAAAACATCCACAAATACTGGGGAAAATAACATGAAGCAAAAAAAAACAATGCTGAAACATTTTAGAGTTGTTTTAGTGTGATTGAAAGCGTTGAACATTAATATGATTATCTGTATCACCTGTCTTTGGAACAATGCCGGATTTGGTGATGGTCGAGGCTTTGCTATACTAGACGATGGATGATGGGCGGAAGCAAGCGGGGCATTATTTACAATTGCTGACTGTGGATCCTGCAAAGGTATCAATGAAACATTTCACGCTCACAAAATCAAAAATGAAAAGAGGTCCAACAGATGGTTACCTGCAATCGTTCGCTTATAGGTATTTGTTTCCGGAATGACTGATAAGCCTGATTCGTTCGCTGAAGAGTAGCCGTTGCATCACTGAAAACCAGACTTTATGGATTTGTAAAGGGTAATTGACGCTTGAAACGCTAACCTTTTATCCTCCCAGTTTGGATTCAGTGCTTTCTCAAGATTTTGGACATTTTCTTCATCGCGTTTTTTCTTTCTTTCGAGACAGATAGAGAATGCACAGCCAACAGCATGAGAAAGACGCTCACCCTGAACAAATAAACGACTGAATTTTTAAAGAAACACGCTCTCTTGGAAACACGAACCGATTCTTTTGTCGCATGAAAACCGTGACACATCCATCTCCTTGATGTCCCATCCCTGCATATGTAAGCAAAGCCTTTATCGTTGTTACGATCTGGTGCGCAAAAAGAAACCTAAAGTAGAAAATTAATAAATAAAAACGAACGCTGAAAAGCAAACTTCAATTTCGCTAAGAACAAACAGTTATAATAATCGCGCAGTTACTATGTTGCAAGAGTAATTAATATGAGTTGAAGAGGACCCAGCAAAACATCCTAGCGTAGATCAGACTTAATTGGAGAGGCGCGACACATTCCATAATGTGGTTTCATGGTTAAAAAAGGATATCTTCGCCGTTGATCAATCCCTTTGTGGGATGCTACTTCCATTCAGAATCGTAGTGGCTTATTGAATGCGATGTGGCCTATACAATGACTTGCGGTGGCCAGCCGATGTACAAGTCAGTGTTTTATCCTCCCAGACGAATCTGGTACCAATTTACCGTCCCCGGAGGGTAGAAGGCTTGGTTGGCCTGGGCGGGTGTCGACCTGGGATTCGAACCCAGGACCGCGCGAGTGGTAAGCGCGCCACTTGTCACTACACCACCTCCGCCTCGTTTCGCTGATTTCATGGTTACTGTGACCTAATGTCACATTGCAAGACGGCAAATCAGGAAGAGGCAGGGGAATATAATGAGGTTCAAGTGTGAATTTGTTGAGCCAATGAACATTTTAAAGAATAAGAGAAGCAGAAAAAAAAGTTGTGAACAGAGCTCTCTATCTTGATTTCCAGCACTGCACGAGCGAGAAGAAAAAGGAGGGGCGAAAAGACACTGCGAACGTTTGAGGGACAGGGGCATTGTTCACTTCCGCTGTCTCCCATTGTCGCATTCAGTGCTTAACAAACCTTGATAAGTGGTTTCTACAAACGCTGAATGGTATCGCATCGTGGCTTCACAAGGTTCGCTAAGTCTCTACTTCATGGTACGACACGACAACTGGGAAGCAGCGGA